AGGTAAAATCAAATACTACTTGTCTAAAAGAAGGGAGGGGAGGTGGTGACAAAAGGACTCCTAATGACATTCTGCTATACTTATAAATCATTGCCTCATTCAGCCATCATCAGAGAAGCTTCCTCCTGCAGCAGAGAACAAATAGAGTCACGGTCCGACACTATACAGAAAGTGAGAGACCTTACAACACTCAGTCCTAAATAGGGTTCATCCATCAAATCCTTCCCGTCAGGGCTCAGAAAATGATGGTTCATACATCATTATGGGGTTCAGAAGATAACTGAGATGGCTCGCAGGTAAGGGTGCTTGCAGACAAGCCTGAGGACCCAAAAGGAGTGGAAGAGTCAGAGGAGTTAGACAACCCTGGGAGAAGAAGGCCTTCTAAAGTAACTGGAGCAGAGAAACTCAGAGACTCAAGCAGCACATACAGCTGTGGCCTGCACGAGTTCTGTACCAGAACCTCTGCATATATATTATGGCTTCCAGTTTAGTGTTTTTATAGGATTCCAAAGTGGGCAAATAAGTGGATATGATTTTTATGCCTTCTCGTGGGCTCTTTTCCTTCTGCTTGTTTGTCAGATTCTAAAGTGATAGTTTTTGTTTTATCTTATTATATTTTATGTTATATTTAAGTATTATCTCTTAGAAGCCTGTTCTTTTCTAATCAGATCCAAATGGGTTAGAAACTGGGAAGAACCTGGAGGAATAGAGGGAGGGGAAACTGTAATCAGGATATATTATTTATGTGAGAAAAAAAATCTATTTTCAATAAAAGGGAAAACTAAAATAAAAAAAGAAAGCTCTATTCATGTCTTTAGCAAGAACTGAAAGAACCAGATGTTGGAATGAGGTGGGAAACTCATGTTCCAAATGGCCTTTACCATCCTTAAAGCCACGAACAAACCTGGCAGCCATCAGGGTTCTCAGATATAGGCAGTGTTCTCAGACATAGGCTTGTAGACAAAATAAAAGAAAATCAGAGACATGCATTGTTAGAGCCTGTTTGATTTTTTTTTCCCCATTTAGGATAAAAAAAAAATGCCCAGTGTTATTTAACCCTTCGAAACCTTTGTCCTTTCTATACTTCCCTGGAACACTGTTTTTACCCAAATCTAGATTCATCTTGGAGTAATGTGCCATTTATATGTCTGATTGTCTCTGATCCTTACTAATAGAACTTCTAAGTTTCAAACTAAATTCAATTATTCCAGCCTCTTGATAATACAAGAATTTGTTTCCCCTTTATTAACTATTAATAAGAGATATTAGTTTTGACTATAAAACTTTGTTATCAGCACAGATGAATTAACAGGAGGACAAAAAAGAAAAAGACAGTTTGTACGTCATTATGGGATTTAGAAGCTAACTGAGGCCCTACGAGACGGCTAAGCAGGGCGAAGTGCCTGTGGACAAGCCTGATGATTCACGTTTAATCCCCACGCCACACATGACGGAAGCACATGACTGCTACACGCTGTTCTCTGACCTCCACACATGGACTGTGGCATGTACTCACCCATAAATAAATGCAAAATAAGATTTGGAAAAAAGAGCAAAAGGTAAATTATAATCCCTATCACCTGACCCTGCCAGGCTAAATGCCATTTCCACATCCATGATGACTTTTAGAGAACAGTCATTTTTCCTTTTGATTTCATACAAAGGCCTTACCCTGCCAGTATCACAGATAGTGTGCTTAATTGTATGGAATACCAATGCACCCTGTTACGTTTTGTAGGCGGGAATATTATATAAAGCACAAGTCTCTTTACAAAAGGAACACGAGAACTAACCTATGATCCAGCAATACCACTTCTGGGCATGTATTAAAAGAAAGGCAATCAATATTGCAGATGAATGTCTAGTGCCCCCTGTTCACTGTACCACTATCACAGCATCTAGGGATGCATAGATAAATGTTCTGTGTTCTGAAAACAATGACATCTTGAAATTTGCAGGCAAATGGAACTAGAAAAAAGCCATCCTGAGTGAGGTAACCCAGACCCTGAAAGACAAATATATGTACTCACACATAAGTAGATAATAGACATAAAGCAAAAGACAACCAGAGAACCTAGGTAACAAAGAGGACCCTAAGAGAGACATACATGGATCTGTCTAGGAAGGGGAAAAAAGACAAGATCTGAGTAAATTGGGAGCATGAAGGACAGGGGGAGAGGGGTGGGAAGGCAGAGGGTGGAAGGGGGGTGGGGAAAAAGGTATAGCATATTCCTATCCAAACAATTAAAATGAGAAGGATTTACTAAAAAAATAAAACTGTGTTCTGGGTTACCATGATAACCTGTGGATCTCTTTGTAGAAACTCTTGGCTATTTCATATGTGTCCTATACACTACAGCTTTAAAAATATGCATGCGTATTAAGATACATAGGAACACAACATGATGAAAGATATCAAGTACTGATATTGTTCTTAAATGATTTATTTGCAGATGGGAGTATTTACAACAAGCATGAAACCAGCAAGGATTGATGTATGGAGTATGAGAGATGTTACTAGATCAACCCAGGCCAGAGATAATATTGCCCTAGACCAAAAGGACAAGGTGGATTTGGATACGGAAGAATCTAAACACATTCCTAGCACTTTCTATAAAAAGAAATCAATGGAAGGAAATGAGTACAGGAGAATATTTTAGAGAGGACAAGTCACACAGAGCAGGGGCTGTAGCTCTGTGCTTTAAAATAATTTCATTGTACAGGTTTGCTACTTTTAGGCTATGACACAGAAAAACTCATTTAACCACTCTGTCTCATGTCTTCAGACCTGTTGTAGGGTAAAAGGGACAACTGGAGTAGGAAACCAACCAATCACTGAACACCCTGACTCTGAACCCAGAGTCTGAGAAAGAAACACACCCTGTTTTTGAGACCTGGGCCAGGGAGAGAAATATCTTTATCCCTAAACCCAGGACTAAAGGCGTGTGCCCTGGCTCTGAAACTAGTGTCACAGTCCCTAGAATCAGCGTCCGTGAGAGAAATGTGCCCTGCTCATAAGATTAGAGTCCAAAAGCTAAAAAGAACCAGGGCAAGAAACACAGTTTGACCATGACGACAGAGCCATCTCTGCCCCAACTGCCCAACTGCACCAACCAACCAAAGGGTAGGAAACCGACCAATCACTGGGCACCCTGACTCTGAACCCAGAGCCAGTGAAAGAAACACACTCTGGATCTGAGACCTGAGCCAGGAAAGAAACATCTTTATCCCTGAGCCCAGAACCAAAGAAACATGCCCTGACTTTGAAACTAGTGTCAAAGAAAGAAACACACTTTGTCCCTAGAATAAGAGTTAGAGACAACTATGCCCTGGTCCTAAGAGTCAAAAAGCTAAAAAGGACCAGTGAAAGAAACAGTTTGGCCATAAAGTCTGAGCCATCTCTGCCCTGACCAAACTAAATTTACCAATCCCTGAGCAGGGAAAAACTAACCAATTCCTCTTCTCCCTGGGAAAACTCCTCCCCTAAGAAGCCCTGTATAAGCCTCTCTGCCCCTTCAGTTAAAGGCTACCATTTATCCCTCCCTGGCAGAGGCAGCCACTCTCCTGGACTCCTCCTTCCCAAATAAATTTCTTTCTCCAAAGAGTCTTGGGTGACAACCTTCATTTGCCTGCGCAGACTAGAAGAACCCGGCTGGGATGTCCCTTAGGGGACTGAGCTGAAAAACCTTGCTGAGATGCCCCCTAGGGGGCCTCAGCAAGGTGGAGCAGCACAGAACCTTGCTGGGATACTCCTTAAAGCAAGGCTGGGCAGAAAAAAGTAACAAGTTTTCAAAGGAGTAGGGGCTTCCCCTTTAGCAGAGTGTTAGCAAGAGAAGAAACATCTTGGGCTGGAGAAGGAGAAGAAGCAGATAGCCCTGCCAGGACCCTCCCTTAAGGGAGCAGAGCAGAGCTCAGCTATAGCTGCTCTCCAGGAGAAGAGTAGGATCACTATATCCTGCTGGGAGAACATTCCCCATTGCACCCCAGCTCCAGGTAGCCTGACTTCCTCTAGGGCTGAGCTGTCCTATTGTGGCTCGAAGTATAACCTGGCTTCCCAATAAGTCAGGATATCTCTCCAACTCTACAACTGTAACATATTCCCCAACACCTGTAACTTGGTATAATATTGCCCAGCTCACTGTGTTATAAAATTTACATGGATTACAATATACTTCAGATAGTCCTGAACTGTATAGTGTGGAAAAATCAAATTGAACATAAGCAATCATGCATGTTGGATGTGCCAAGCTCCTGCCCCTGTGACTTGCCTGCCATGTTAGACTGGAACCCAGAATTGTGAGCTGAGTCACCCTTTCTCTGCCTCAGTTTTTCTCAGGATATTTTCTCACAAAAACAAAAATGAAACTAGGATCTACCTTTTGGGTAGAAATGAGAGACAGAGCCAGATACAAAATGAAATGAAAGTACCTCAGAATATGATGGTCAAAGTATAGAAAAAAGGAATATCCAATTTACATGATCCTGTGTGTGTGTGTGTGTGTGTGTGTTTGCTTGTGCACACGTGTGTGTGCAAGATATTTTGGAGGAGATAGTGAGGAACAAGGATTTTCATTTCATCTCTCAATATTAAGAAACATGAAGATGAAAACATTTGGTCTCTAGAGAGATGTTTCATAATGATCGGCCATCAAAGGACCACAGAGGGAAAAAGCTCCCACAGAAATTGAGGAACTTATTGGCTGTGTACCATCAATAGTAGCAGAAAATTATAGAAAATTTTGGAAGTTATGGTGAGAGGGAAGAGATGAAGGAAGGATTGGATCAGAGACAGGAAAGGAAAAAAGTGTAATCCCAACAAACAATAACATCTTGGATAAAAATATCTTATGTATGATTATAAATATATACATTGTCTAAATGTGATTTTTTTCAACATAATTTACTCAATACAAGATTGGTTTATAAGTAAGTGTTCCCAAATGTGACTGGACAAAAAAAAACCAGTAATATGATTCCGAATGATATTCTGCTATACTCACAAATCAGATTGGTTCATAGTTCAGTTTTCATCAGAGAGGCTTCACCCAGCAGCTGAAGGGAGCAAATGCAGAGACCCACAGTCAAACACTAGATAGAGAGAGAGCCCAAATGAGATCTCCATAAGGTCCCTCCCTTGAAGTTCGAGAAACCACAGAAGATGGGGAGGAATAGCGGGTGTCAGAGGGACCAAGGACACCAAGAGAACATGGCCCACAGAAACAACTAAGAAGAGGTCATGGGGAATCACAGAGATCGCAAAGCCTACACAGGTCTGTGCTAGGTCCTCTGAGTACGTTATGGCTGCTACCTTAGTGGTTTTGTGGGAGTGGTGGTGTCTCTGACTCTTCTGTCTGCTCTCAGGATCCTTTTCCTCCTACTGGGTTGCCTTGCCCAGCTTTGATGTGAGAGTTTGTGCCTGGTTTTATCGTATCTTGTTGTGCCACGTTCGGTTGATGTCCCTGGGAGGCCTAGTCTTTTCTGGGGGAAGACGGAAGACCTGGTTCTGGGGAGCAGGGAGGTGGGGGAAGGACTGGGAGGAATAGTAAGAATATATTGTAAGAGAGAATAAATAAAAACAAAAATAAAATAAGTGTTCATGTAAACTAAAGTTATTAATTAACTTGGCCCAACTTCATTTTGGCTTATAGTAAAGTTAAAATTTTAGGAACAAAATGACAAACTACAAAGGAATACATTTACAGAGATGGCCAATGGTCTTAAACATTTCTTTGAAACAATTAGAATGAGTCTTTAAATTTATTTTTTTAAAAAAACAATATATACATAATCATACAATTCTGATAAAGATGTTAGCTCCTTGATCCTTATCTCAATTCTGGTTCTACAACATGGTCCCTACTAATTGAGGGTAAAAATTAACTTTAAGAGAAGAGTTCTCATACTCTAGGATATATCTATTAATTGTCCCCCTTTGAAATACTAAACTCCTTATTCCAAAGATTAAGAGAATAACTCACCTCTGTGCTTTTAGATAAGTTTTGTATGTGAATATGCATATAAATACAATTTTAAAACACTAAAAAATTTTTAGCCGGGCGTTGGTGGCACACGCCTTTAATCCCAGCACTCGGGAGGCAGAGGCAGGCAGATCTCTGTGAGTTCGAGGCCAGCCTGGTCTACAAGAGCTAGTTCCAGGACAGGAACCAAAAGCCACAGAGAAACCTTGTCTCGAAAAATCAAAAAAAAATTTTTTAAAGGTTTTAAGAATATTTATGCAACTACTGCCTTTTAAAAAACCAATGAGTTTTTCAAGAGCCATGTCTTAGCCAAGCCTATGTAAGAGAAAACCCTGGGCGTATTTTTTATTGTCATTTAAAAAAAACACTTCAAAAAAGATTTGGAAGCTCCTGGCTTTGTGTGTGGGCACGAAGTGGTGACTGCAGGAGATTCCTGTGGCCTGATCCTCTGTGGGGGCCTGGCAGGGACAGGCCCACTACTGGTTCTGCTTTCTCAGGATTTGTTCGGCTGGGGTCTGCCAGGTGAGCAGAGTGTGGCTGCCCAGCTGCTGCCCAGCTGCTGTCCCTTGCTGATGTTTCTGGAGGCACTAAGCCAAAGAGCCCATTGGCTGAGATGGGATGAAGAATGTCCCATATCAACCAGGCTGGCATGGGTGTGCTCTATGCCCTGCCAGATGTGCTGGGGGTGTTGCTCCTGATCAGGACTGTCTGCTTGGGGAGAGGTAGCTGTGGTGGGAGACCCAGAGCCCTCGGAGGTAGCATGGGTCTCTGTTTACACTTAGCTGATAGAGTGTCATACACGGGTCCTGTGGCCTCTGCCTAGCCCACCTGATGTTTACATGCATTTGTCTGGAGGAGGTGCCAGCCCAGCCTGTTGGCTGCTCCCCCACATGTCCCACACATTGCCCACAGCCTGCTCCCATAGTAAATGGCTGTCCAGCCTCCCAGCCCTGGTCAGCACTGTACAATTGTTTTTTCAATGCACAAATTGGTGTACCTCCTCACATTTAGTTCCGTTGTCCCTCCAGCCTTCGACCTGGCGTTGGTATCCTAATTGCCTGGCTTCTGGAAGGTATTGCTGTACATTGTTCTCAGGTGGTCTTGTGGAGGTCTTTCTGAAAATAGTTATTTTATATGATTTGTCATGAAATTTGTTCTAATAAATCATTCTTCCATGTGGCAGCAAAAATAAACAAACAAAAAATACTTTAAGGCTGACCAAGACATTTTAAGAGTTTACAGATAATCTTAATGTGTTACATCATAATGATATATTTAAAAATAATCATCTGAGTCATAAATGCCAAACTTCATCCTGCTCTGGACATTTTACCCTACTTTTGATGCCTCACAGACATTCAAAAAAGGAAATGCTTAAGCCAGGAGTGGAGGCAGAAGCAGGTATATGTTATGCCTCAAGTCTTTAACAAATAATTTAAATTGGGTTAAGAATAAAAAACTATTAATGCATTTTACGTTTATGCCTTGTAACATACGCATATTCACGTACATTAACACAAACAGGAACGGCACACATGAGAATACTCTCACATGCACACATGAGAATACTCTCATATATGACCATGCTTGGAAAGTGCATGTGTCTGTATATGTTCATGCTCAGTAACTGTAAACATGAGAAAACATGCATCTGTACGGACACATGACCATGATGAGAAACTGCCCACATATGGACATGTCCTTATGCATTGACATATAATAATAGGAATTGCATTCACATGAAAACACACATATACACTGACATATGACCATATATATGAACATGCATAGATGCACTGATGTGTGACCATACCCGGAAAGTACATACACATGAACATGCATATATATGCCACTCTGTCTAGTGTTTTAGTTTTTCTCCTGCTGAGATAAACACCATGACCAAAAGCCACTTGGGGAAGAAAGGGCTGATTTGGTTACTTACATCTCCTGAGTCACCATCCCTTGAGGGAAGCCAAGGCAGGACCTCAAACTGGAGGAAATTGGAGACAGGAGCTGATGCAGATGCCATGAAGGGGTGCTGCTTACTGGCTTGCTCAGCCTGCTTTCTTACAGAACCCAGGACCACCACTCCCGGGACTACACCACCCACAACTGGTTGGACACTCCCTCATCAATCACTAACTTAAAAAATGGACTACAGGCCTGACTACAACCCAATCTTATGGGAGCATTTTCTCAATTGAGGTTCCTTCCTCTCAAATAACTCTAGCACGCGTCCAGTTGAAAGAAAACACACACACACACACACACACACACACACCCCAAAATACTAGCCGGCAAACCCAAGAAGTGCACACATCTGAACATGTGCCTATGTGCCAACATATAAACATGGTCAGGAAATACACATATGTGAACACTATATACATTCACTGACATGGCCTTGTATAGGACTGCATGTAGGTGAGCATACACATGTACACCAATATGTGACTGCACTTGGGAATTGTACACATATGAACACTACATATGCACCCACATGCAACCACAGGGGACTCCACATATGTGAACATTTGCATATGCACCAACCTATTCCAATGATCAGGAACAGTACACATGTGAACACGCACATACACACTAGCATATGACCACTCATGCTCAGAACTACACAAGTGACCACATGCATATGTACCAACATATGCCAGGACTCGGGATTTTCATGCATGTGAATACACCATGTGCCAACATATGACCTTGCTCAGGAACTGCCAGTGTGTAACCACGCACATACACCACCAAGTGGCCATGCTTGGGAACTGCACTTGTGTGGACACAATCATATGCACTGGCATCTTACTGTACTCACAAAGTGTATAGGGGTGAATAGCACGTATGTGTTAAGATGTAATAAGTCACACCTAGGACTGCCTGTATGTGAACACTCACAATATGATCCAACATATTCCCACCATCCAGAACTGCACACAACACGCTGGGCATGGTGGCACACACTTTTATTCCCAGCACTCAGGAGGCAGAAGTAGGCAGATGTCTAAGTTCTAAGCTAGCATGGGCTACAGAGCAAGCTCCAGGACAGCCAGAGCTACACAGAGAAACCCTGTCTCAAACAAACAAAAAAAAATCCAGCTGTACACAAGTGAACATATATATATACATACTAATATATTTGAGAACTACATGAACATGAACATGTACATAAATACTGACATATGACCACATATAGAACTGTACACAGGTAAACAAACATATATCACAAACATGACTATGCTAGGAAAAGTATATGCATGTGCTGGCATGATCATGTTCAGCAAATGCACATGTGAACACATGACTATGTACCAACATGTGACCACACTTGTAACTTGCATGTATGTGAGCATGCACATATGTGCTGATATGTAACACACTGGGAACTGCACACAAGTGAATGTAAGCACATGCATGTGATTCGTCTGAGCACTTAATGCTTGTAAACACACAGATCTGCAGACATGTGACCACACTCAGAACTGCACATGTGGAAACACGCACATAAGCACCATGTGATGCCTTTTGGAAGTTACACACCTGTCAACATGTGCATATGAGCCGGCATGTGCTCACTCTCAGAACTTTGTGTACATGTTAAACTGTGCATATGTGCCAACATATGACCATACCTGGAATTGCCATGTGTGTCAGCATGCACATATGTGCCAATGTGATCAGGATCAGAACTTCCACAAACATCAAAATGCTCATACATGATATGTGACCATGCTTAGAGTAGCATGCATGTAAACACGTTAACAAGATATGTGTCTACTCAAAATGCACACATGTGAATATATATATGTTCTGACATGTGACCTCCCTCAGAACCACATGTCAGTACACACATATGCACCAGCATATGTTTGCTCTTGGCACTTGGCATCTGTGTAAAAAGTGCATATAGTGATATGTTACTATACTTGGACACCTATCAAAACACACATGAAAAGGCTCTGGATTCAATCCCCAGCGCCACACTAGCATGCACATACGCTATACACATGCACACACATGAAAAGTAAAAAGAATTTATGACATGGGACTGAAAAAACAACACGCATGTGAAGAATATGCCAAGGAAGTAAGTGGAAAGAGAAATACAATGTATTCAATATGGGTTTTGGTTTTGTTTGTCGTGCCAGGGACTGAGCCAAGGGTTTCATGCATGCTAAGCATGCAATCTAGCATTAGCCACAACCCAAATCCTTCAAATAAATATATTTTATATTGCCAACAGTTCAGGATCCAATGAAAAATGTGTTAAATATAGGAAGAAAACAGCACAAAATGAAAACAAGATCTTTTGGTCCACTAGCCATGATCAAAAAATAGTCCAAAGGCAACTGATCTATCATGGTTGAGCAGTAACTTCTGTGTGGCACCAAATATGGAACAGCTCTGTAAGACTCAATCCTATCCCCCCACAGAGAAGTAAGTCTTAGCATAGCTTTCAATCATGACT